CCCCACGACCTCCTGGGTCCCCGCCCGCCGTGGGGACCTCGGAGCGCAGGCCCGCTGCGTGCAGACGCGAGGCGGAGCCCGGCTGCTCCGACGGAGGGTTAGGGCGGGGCCGGGGCTGCTGGAGAGGAATCACACAGCAGGCTAGGGAGGGCCTGGGGGAGCCCCCCCGGGTTTATTAGTGTCGCATCAGCACCTTAAAATAGTCCACGTGGTCACATATGTGACAGATTAGAATCTGTTTCCCAAAAAAGCTATTTACATTAATTGTTTTCCATTAAAAAAAAAACTAGCAACACATACATCCTAGAAACCAAACAATGCACAATGACCTGGATGGGGGTCAGAGCCCCACGGAAGGGGGCCCCCGAGCTCGGCCCTCAGGCCCCCGCCCGGGACTCTGCTTCCTCTCCACCTTACCAGAGGACAGCATAGGTCTGGGGAGGGGGTCGAGGAACAGGTGTAGGGATCAGGCAGCTGGCCTTCCTGTCTGGGAGTGAGGACAGTGCAGCAGTGCAGCAGTGCTGGCCCTGGCCACTCTGATCTGCCAGTCTTTGCACAGAGATCCTCGGCTCTGGGTCCAGAAGCCCTCTCCTCCCTGAGCTATGGCTGTGACACTGACTCAGGACACCAGCCTACATGCTCGGAGGAGATGGTGACCCATGGGACCAACATGAGGTGGGAGGAAGCAGTGGCCCAGATACACCGTGGGAGCTGGCCTCCACCTGGCCTCGGTGAGGCTGGAACCTGCCCACACGACGCCACCAGGCCACTAGGAGCCTGGCCTTGCCCAAAGGTGACTTGGTGGCTTAATCTTTGGTCACCCAGTGGGCTGAGAAGCCCAGCTCTAAGGGGGCAGCTCCAGTCCTGTGGGCCCACAGTCTGGGGCCCACGGCCCTCACACACCCCACAGGGCCCCCACGTGCTCACGGCTGCAGTGGCTCAGTCACAGACAGCTTTGGCTTCTGCGTCATCTTCCTCTGGGGGAAAAGTGCTCTTACACATCTCCTCAGAGCAGCTCCATGAGGTAGGCAGTAGAGAGGGACCCCTCGTGCAGCCGACATGGGCACTAGGACACTGGTGTGTGCAAGCCCAGGTCTGCAAGCGAGCTGATGGCTGGGCTGGCTGCGTAGCCTTCCTGGCCCAGGAACGGTGTGGCAGGCGGGCCCTGCGGCATGGGGTGGTGGTTCTGGGTGTCTTCTTGTGTGTCCAAGGAGACAGCCACGGGTGAGGCCAGGGAGGGCATGAGGATAGCGGGGGTGGGGGGTGGGAAGGGGACCACTCACAGCCAGGGTGGACGGGACCCACTCTGGCCCCGTCCTCTAAAACTAGGTCTGCAGCTGGAAAGCTAAGTCAAGGGCGTTTCCCTGGCACCTCCTTCCTGTTGAGTGTGACCTTTAGAAGGAAACTTGAGGACCAGTGACCTAGGCCCTGGATGAGGGCGGGGAGGCTTCCCGAGGGTCCATCAGCTCAATAGACTGCACCTTCACCCAGGTCCTTACCAGGGAGGCGCAGGGCCCCTGGTCCAAGGTCCAAGGCCCAAGGCCTGACTGTCAGCTAGATGCAGGTCCCTCGGCCATGGACACTCGGACCCTGTACAGCCGCCTGCGGGGAGGAGGTAAGCGGGAAGGGCACAGGTAAGGAAAACGGGCCATGTTTCACCACCCCAGAGCAGGGACCCTCTGTGCCGCGACCCTCCGCGCCACGGGCTGTTGGAGAGGCCTGTCGTGCAGGGGAGCGAAGAAGGTGTGCAGCTTGTCCTGCGTTTGGCACTGTCTTTCTGAGCACGGCCTGTGTGACTCTCAGCCTCAGGAAACCGACCACCATGGTCCTACAGCCAAGCTGCCAAGGGGCAGGAGCTGGTGGGCTCTCCTGCAGATACCTGGGGTACAGGGTTGTGGGGGACTGGGGACACCTCCCCGCTTGCTGTAGGAAGGTGGAAGGTAGGGCTGCCATCCCCTATGGGACCCAAACCCCAAACCTGGCTCTGAGGAGCCTGGCCTAGAGAGATGGGTCCCCTGGCCCTGTGAGGTGCCCCAGCTGCACCCACGGCTTGAACGATGCTGGCCCCTATGGTTTGGCCACCTTGCCTGAGCTTTCGTAGGCCACAGTTGTGTTGCAGGTGACATGCACCCGTTGCCTGGCCCAGACACCTCCCCCAAGGCAGGGCCACGGTTGGGAGGCAGGAGGCAGCCACCGTGCTTGCTAAATTCAGGGTGGAGACCACTAGCAGAAGCAGAGGGGGAAGCGAGCCCTGTGGGTGAGGCGGGTGTTGGGGGCCGGGACACAGCAGCCTTAAGGGGCTGCTGGGACTTCAGAAGAGCAACGTCTGTTTGGCAGCTACATTATAACATGTATTTAAAAGCATTAAAAATATCCGCTACTGTAAAACCTCCACTGCCCCAGGCGGCTGGAGTTTACTGGGAACTCCAAGTGGACCCGGGGTGGGGCAGACTGGCCTGTGTTCTGCTCAGGAAGCCCCCAATAGAAGGCTGGCCTTTGGGCACCCAGCTCGGTGCCTTGGGGGGGGGGTTCTGTGTGGCTGCCGACCTGACCCTGGCTCCCTGAGGAAGCACAGACCTGGCTTTCAGGGAGGACAGGACCCAAAGGCAGGAACCCTTCTTGCTGGGGGGCTGAGGAGCAGGGGAGTCCTGAGGCCCAAACACACACACCTCCCGCAATTCTCAAGTTCAACACTGTCCCCCTGACCCCCCGCCCCTGCCAGAACGTTCTGGTTAATAAGCAGAGCAGTTACGGGCTCCCCAGGGGGACCACCCCGTTAGTTTCCAGGTTGTGAGCACATCCATACTTAAGACTGTTTCTCTTTGTGTTTTTAAGGGTCTGTCTCTGTAGTAAACTGAAACGTTAACAGAAAAGCAGCTGGGCCCTCCTGACGCGCGGCTGGCTGTCGCAGGGCTGCAGGGTGGGGAGCCGGCGGCCCCTGGGTGGGCGGGGCTAGAAGGTGGACTTGGAGTGTCCAAAGATGCAGATGGGGAAGTGCTTGACGTGCGAGGACCACTGGGCCGCCAGCTGGAAGAACTTGACGTCGCTCCACTCCACCCCGTCAATGAGGACTGTTGGGGACGAGACCACCTGAGCCGCCGGCCCTCCTGCAGGCCTGCCTGCCACCCCCGGGGCTCGCTGCTTCTCGCTGGCCCCGAAGGCGGAGGTCTGGGACAGCCCAGCAGGCCCGACGTCAGGGGAGGCGCTTGCCCACACCCCCCGTCCCAGCAGGGTCTGGGAACCAGGTTTAAAACACCCTCCACTTAAACTGGAAAATCAGCAGAGGACGGGCAGGGTGGTTCTTGACCGCTGCGGTCATCAGACTCGAGTTCATGACAAGAGAAGACTCTGGAGAGCCCCACGCTCTGAGTCAGCTAGTCTGAGATACGTCAGGCCGTCTTTTAAAGAGCAGAAAGGACTGGGAAATTAGTTCTCAGAATTTGAAAGCCGTTACAGGCACACAAGAGGCCTCCCCCAAATGTGTTCAAAGTTTGAACTCTGCAACGTGCATCCCAGAGCAAACCAAAAGCGTTTCCTGAGGTGAATTTACAAAAGCAGCCCAACTTTGCTCTGGTTAAAAACTTGCACGTTTTACGGGCCACAGGCCCTGCCTGGGAGGCCCCGTGGAGGGAGGCGGATGCTCACCCCACAGCAGTGGGGGCCCCGCGGGGGGGGGCGCTCACCCCGCGGGGGGAGGGGGCGCTCACCCCGCAGCATGTTCTGCTGGTGCTTGGCCGTGCAGATCAGACGGCTGATGCCCTCGATGCACTGGCTTTTAGACTCCACGTCCTTGTCCTTGGTTTTCTTGGGCAAAAACATCACTAGGAGGGAAAACGGGGTGCTGTCCTCCCACTGTTCCTCCAGGGCCGGGGGACGGTGGGCGCTGTGGCTCACCCTGGCCCCCAGACCCCACTCACCTGGATCCCCTTCTGTTCTGACCACGGCCACCACTGCCCGCCCACCACAAGGTCTTTGCTGGGGGCTCTGGTCAGAAGCGGCCCCCAGACCCGTGGTGCCCTCGGGGCTTGCACGGCTGCCCCTCCAATTGTCCCGACGGTCAGCCCCCCCGCCCCCACCTCACCCTTCTTGTTCTTCTCCTTGGTGACCACGGTCATGGACATGGTGGGCGTGGCCGCGGCCTCGCCGCTGCTGGGCAGCCTGCTGACCTGGAGAGACCGGAAGGTGCACTTGAGTGTGTTTTTGGTGGTGGGCGGGTCCTTCTTGTCCGCATCTCTCTTCCTGTCTGCGGGCTGGGCCGCCGTCCAGTAATCCACCTGCAGCCCCATCAGCTCGGCGCCGACGCCCTGGCTGTGGAAGACGAGGGAGGCTCACCCCTCCGTGCTGGGCTGACAGCAGCACCCCAGTGGCTGGCATGGGCGAGGAGGTGCCCGCTGGTCCCGTGCTGCCTACGCTCAGGGGACCGCCTGTGGTGGCTGACCAGCAGACGGGAGGCCGGGGCTGCTGTGGGGGTGGTCCTGGTCTCTGGGGACAGGCGGGTCTGAGCCAGTCTCCCTGGCAGAGTCACAATGCTGGGGTCATCCAGGAGGGTCAGGGCCTGCCACCCTCCTGCCCCTCCGAATCTGGAGGGCCACAGCCAAACACCCCCTCAGCAGTGTGGCCCCAGGAGCGTCCCTGTCGCCCTGCAGCCATTCTGCCTGGGGAGTTCTGCTCCCAAGAGGCCCAAGGGTGGCTGAGGGCCGGCGGCCGTGACACACCGTTTCCTACGTCTCTACCACCCTGCTTACGGGCTCTGTAGTTTCTATCCCCGGGGTTGCCGGGGGTGAGGCCGGGGGCCACCAGGCCCGTCCATGGAGTGAGTCCAGTGCCCCCCCCAGACAGGGCACCTTGTCTGAGAGCCACCCCCATGCCCTCCCCCAGGCCGCTGAGCCCCTGCTTCCTGGCGCCCTGGGGTATGGTCAGGGACCACGGGTAGCTGCCAGTGACCTTCAGCACTGGGGGACGGACAGGAGCCGCTGGGCAGCATGTCCAGGGAGGGGAGCTGCCTGCATGGCTGTGTTTACCTGGGGGAGGACAGGCCCCCGCTCACCGACGGGGAGGAGGGTGGCGTGGGCGAGGCTTCCTTGGCTGCAGGAGATGTGGACGGCGGGGTGGACGAGAGGGCGCTGGGGCCCGAGGGGGCTGCGTCATCCGAGTCGCCTTTGGGAAGGAGTCGGGGGCAGCGCTGAGCTCCCCCGAGATTCTGCCCTGAGTAGCCCAGGCCCTCTGGACCCCAGACCTGGACATGGCAGGGAGGCCAGGCAGCCCCGGGGTCTGGGGAGGGCATGTGTGGGGAACAGGAGACCGCCACCCCAATGGGGAGGGGCTGCAGGGCATCGGGCCGGGTGGCCACACGCACGGCGAGCAGCAGCACTGCAGTGAGCTGGCCCTCCCCGGCTGAGGCAGGACCCTGCTCACAGGCCGCACTGAGGCTAGCGGCTGGGGGCTGCCCCTGCCCTCCAGCACCCGGCGCCTAGGGCATGGAGGATGGGTTACCTGACGTGGCAGAAGACGGTTCCACTATCCCAACCTTCACCACCTAGAAGGCAACAGGCCGCTGCTGGCCGTGGCGGGTGGCAGTCCCAGCCCCTGGCCCATGTGCCGGGGCTCCAGCGGGCGGGACCTGCCCCCTGCTACTGCCCACCCACCACGGCCCCCACGCAACACAGGAAGAACAGCGAGTTCTAAGAGCACAGGGATTTAAAGGCAAGCCCTCAGCACAAACTGGGGAAAGAGGTTCTGGAATGTATCAAGTTAATGCAAAACCGGACTGCTTATAGTATGTTCTGGCAGATCTGCGGTTTCCCAAGCGGGTGGGGTCGGCCAAACGGCAGACGCAGTGGACACGGCAGCTGCCCACCTGGGGTACTCACCCCCACGAAGGGAATGAACTTCTGAGAGGACTCTTCGTCGGGGCTAAGACAAGGGAGAGAGACAGTCACCGCTCTCCCAGAAGGACAGGCGCTCTGTCTCTGAGCGGCCGGCACTTCGCCAGCCGCCTGGCGGGCCCTGCCCAGCCCGTGCCTCGCCTGTGCCCTCCCACAGCGGACCTGGCTGGGCCCGACCCGCAGGTCTCTTCCGACATGCAGGAGGCAAGCGCATCTCTGCACCCAAGGGTCCAGAGGCCCGTGGGGGCAGCGCGGAGGGTAAGGGCGGGGCCTCGCCAAGGGGCCTGCTTTTTCACCAGGGCCTGGGCTGGGGGTGGCCAGCCAAGCCTTTCTGTGGGCCCTGCAGGCCAGTGTTTCCCGCTCAGCCCAGGAGAGAACTGGCTGCCCCAGGACACCCAGAAACAGCCTAGGCCTCCTCCAGTGACTGGCATGTGGAGGTCTCCTCCCAGCCGGTCTGAGTAAAGTTGGTGCCAACTGGGGGGCCTATTTCCACGACTCTGGCCTTGGTGATGGGCTGCACAGGCCTTGTTCTAACAGAACAACGCCCAAGAGCAGCCCGAAGGCCAGACCAAGGCTCTCCGGCTGTGCTGCTGTAATGAGCCAATGGGCCCTGCACAATTTCTAGCAGAACTGTGGTCTTGCTGGAACCACCGGTCACAGCCGTCCACCGTGAAGGCATCCAGCGTCCGAGGGCCCTGGGCGCGGGGCATCGGCAGGACCTGAGGGGAGGCAGACCCCTGATTCTCTTCCTCCTCCTACTCCCAGGCCAGGGCTGGCCCCGGGCTCATCGTCTCTGCAGCAAGCTGCCCGCTGCCCGGTGTCTGCCTTGGCCTGGGCTCTGTCAGCAGCTGGAAGAGCTTCCTTCTCTGCCTTCGGGTGGGTCCACGGGGTGGGGCGGGTCCTGGCCTTCTGCCCTTCCCCAGCCACAGGGAAAAAAGGTGTGTCCTCGCCCTGCTTCCTTGGCTGGTGGCTCGCAGCCCTTCTCCCAGCTCCGCTTCCTCTGTTTTGTGGAGCCAGAGCCTGACGTCAAGAGGATGACTCTCTTGCAGGTGACTCCACACGTGCAGGCCATGCAGGGGGTGGCCCGGGAGTGTCACTCAGGGAGAAGCCTCTGCCCCAAGCAGGCCTGGTGGGGGGGCCCAGGCCCAGCTCCTGGGACCAGGAACCCCACGTCCCCGGAGCGTTGGAGGAGGCCCTCCCTTCTCTGTCCCTGCGGAGGACAGTGGCCTGCGCCTGGCTGACACTCCCCGTTAAGTGTGGTTACAAGCTGGACAAGTGGCCCCGGCCCAGGGGCCAAAACATAATGCACCTGCACCACGCACAGCACCTACAGTGAGGGGACAGCAGCTGGCAGGACCTGCTCTCCCCTGGGTGCCACCTGGACATGGGGACCCCCCACCTCTGCCCCAGCACCACCCAACCCACTCCGCAGGAGACCCAGCAAATGTTTTTGGATGCAAGAATCTACAGATTCGGTCTGTCCAAAGAAAGTAACCAAATTCTTGGTCTTTCTCTCTTTCCTAAGCAGAATACAATTAAAAAGAAAAAACTTTCTTTTTCCATTTCAAGTAGAACAATCTAAATCCTGTGCCTAGGCGTGCTCCTGCACTCGAGGTGGCAGGAGGCCCCGTGGGGTCCCCCGACCAGTGCACGGGAGGCTTGGACCCCCAGGGCCCTCACCCTCAGGGAGCCACCATCCCCATGGCCCTCCCCAGCAGACGGCAGGCAGGGAGGCAGACGAGGGCCTCAGGGGCGGAACTCGGGGGACTCTACGACCCAAGCAACAAAGCCAAGCCGTGCCTCGGGGCCATGCAGACGACATCCAGTGCTCGGCACTGCCCGGCGAGACGGGGGTGACACCAGCTGCTGCTGGGAGCCCTCCACCTGGACCCTGTGTATGTGGGGCACAGGTGTTCTTGGCAGGGGTAGTGGTCAGAACTCCTACAGCTTGAGCCCACCGCTCTGTGATGAGGAGCCCTGGGCGAAGGGGTGGTGCGGGACGTGCTCTCACTTCACATCCAGGGACGCAGCCCATACGAAGCTGGCCTGGGGAGCTGAGCGGCCCTCTAGGCGTTGCCCGGGGGACACACGATAAGGTCTGACCTCAGGCAGGAGCTGGTGCAGTGCAGGTAGGATCCTTGATGCAGAGGGACCAGGAGGGCCATGCCCACCGCCCACCCTCCCCGGCATCCCCTGACCCCCCCAGGGTGGACAGAAGTGTGTTCTCTGTCATAGCAGACAAAGGCTGACCTGCTCTCCGGCCCTGGGCTCCAAGGGCAGACAACACGTGGCCCTTCCCCGAGCTCCACCCAGGACAGCTGGAGCCCCACCCCCCACCCCCGGTGCTGGTGTCACCACTGTAACGCAGAGGCGGGGGCAGGAGGCTCAGGGCCTCCCAAGCCCTGGCTTGCTGCTCATAAGAGCCGACCTCGGGACAGACAGAAGCTGCGGCCCAGGCAGCGAAGCATGCTGTGGGCTCGCGGAGCCATGGCTGAAAGGAGGGGAGGGTCGCAGGCCCACAGGGCAGCCCGAGGGGTCCGCGGGGCACACTGGCTGGTCTTTCTCTAGCTCCGTGAGGCTTGTTTAGCAGGATGTTTGAATGGGCTTAGACTCCTCCTCCTGGTCTGTGCCGGGGCCCAAGGAGCCTCCTAGGGGGCTTTGCTGGGAGAGCAAATAACCCAAGGCCCCCTGCAGAGCAGGGCCCTGAGGGAGAGGCCCGGGCAGGGCGCCAGGTGTGTGGGCAGTGCTGGGACCGCCCAGGGCATGGCTCTTCACGTGTGTGTAGGGGTCTCAGTGGTCTGGCCAGCCATCCAGGTAAGCCACAGAACTTTGCTGGGAATCCCCCCCAAGCTGTGCTCTGCCACTCTGTGGGGGGCCTAGAGCCAGGCTCGAGCCAGCCACTGGCCACTATGTCACCCTGGCCAATTCCCCATCCCCTCGCCTTGCTGTCCCCTCCCGTCCCCCACGCAGCTACTGGCATGTGGGCCGGTGAACAAGTACGACGACGTCCGGGGAGTGAAGCCCACACTCAGCAAGGGTGGTGCCAGCGGTCAGTGGTCAGCAGCTTGAGAGCTGAAACCAGCACCTGCTGCTAATTTAAGGGGAAGCCACACCCCTGGCTTCAGAAACACAGCGACTCACTGAGGAGTTAAACTGGCCACTTCTTAAACCCAAACTGTGGACTGAAACAGAGCGCCTGCCCAGCACCCTCTGGGCTGCAGGCCTGGTGGTCACTGGAGCCGGGTAGGGGTGTGATGGTGCAGGCCCGGCTCAGGGCAGGGGGCCTGAGGAAGGGGCTGCGTCCGCTCCTTAGGGCACAGGCCACCGCCTGAAGGAGAAAGCAGGCAGTAGGGGATGTGAATCTGAGGACGACAACAACTGCTGACACTGCTAAACAGCCCTAAAGACCAGCCAGGGGACGGAGGGACCACGGACCCAGGGACAGCGGTACCTGAGGGTAAAGTCAAAATGCAAGTTCTTTCTCCTTTTCAGAAAGGCACCAAAGAGAAACACAGGATGTTATTACGCGCTCAGGAGTGGCAAGGCGGCCCCCTAACGGGAGGAAGAACCCGGAGTCGTGCAGGACTGGCCGTGACACCCGGCAGAGGCTTCAGCTTAAATCTCTCTCCTGCCTTACAAGATGTTTAACGTCCCCTTCTTGGGAGCAGAGATGCTCCACGCCGCGGAACCGGCTGCAGTCTGCCTGTTCCTGCACTTCCCCACCCGGGAGTCCCTGGAAGGACTGCCCTGTCTGAGGCCTGTGCACCCAGCTCCACCCCATGTGGGCAGGTGGGCGGGCAGCTGGACCCCCGCAGGGTTTCAGCGACCCACCCGCGGCTCCTGGTTGCTGGCCGGCACTGGGCAGGACGAGAACCATGTCTCCCCGCCTGAGAAGTCCCGGCTGTTGAAGGAGCCTGTGCCCAGATTCGAGGGCGCAGGTCACTGCTAGGGGCCAGGCACCACGACCACTATCCTTTTAACTTTTATTGTGGGAAAATCCAACATGTACAAAAACAGACAACGCGACCACCTCATCCTAACTCCCACTCAGGATCCGTGAAGGGTCCCGGAGTTGAGGAGAACTGGAAGCTGCCTGGATCCCTCCCAGACATCCGTCCAAGCCCAGGTTGGGAACGGAGCCCCCAGTGAGCAACCCGAGGAGCCAGGACGCAGGCGGCTGGGGGTCGCCACCCCACCGCCACCCACCCAGGCCCTAGAGTTACCTCTTCTGCTTGTAGGTCAGCATGGCCTCTGCGATGGGCAGCTGGTGGGCACAGTTGGCTCCTGAGATGTACTGCGTGATTCTCGACACGATGTCCGGCGTGTCCTGCACTGCACGAGGAGACCGGGAGGGGTCTGTGGGGTGCCGCACTCTGCCCAGCTCCACCTCGGCTTCCCCGAGGCCACCCAGCACCCCAAGTTCAGGCGGCCAGGGGAGAGGGCCGCAAAGTCTCTCCAAATCCTGAAGAGCCCTGCCCCAGGATCTAGCCTCTGGTTAGATCTAGCCTCAGCGTCCCAGCTGAGGCTGTCCACTGACCCCTCGCCCCCTGTAGCTCAGGGACCGCTGTGGCCGGGAGGGAGGCACACAGGTCTCCAGTCTCGCCTCAGGACAGCAGTACGACCCCCATTCTAACGGGGCACGGTGGAGTGGAGGTGAGGGGTGTGGGGTCGTGGACGAGGTGGAATGTGGGTGGGAGGGGAGTGGGGCCGTGGACACCAAGGTGGGGTGGCATGGCACAGCTGGGCCAGGGCTGGAGCGGGCGGCGAGGCCCGGGCCTCACCAGCGCTCTGGGCCTCCAGCTTGTTGAACAGGTCTCTCCAGGCCAGGTCCTGGAAGAAGTTGTTGTACCTGTAGTCCACGGAGCCCAGGTACCTGGCCACGGGGTGGGAGCCTGCGGGCCGAGGGGGCAGCGTCAGGACGTGCTGACCCCCACACACCCCGCAGTTCTGCGCCGTGGCTCCTGGACCAGGCGGCTCTGCCGCTGCCTCGGCAGACAGCCCACCCGGCCGCGCCAGGGTGTGTCCCGCGGACCACACAGCCTCGGATGCGGCGGGTCTCGCGCTGTGGGGAGGGGTCTCCTCTAGGCCTCGCCTCGTTCTGGCAGACAGAGTTAAACCACACAGAATTTTGATGACTTAAAAAGATCAATAACTAATCACTGCTTTGCATTTCTGACAACAAACCGAAATCAGCAACGAGTTATCCTAACTGTGGGGCCCTCGGGGTGTGGACATCTCTGGGGCAACCATGTTGCAGGATCAAGCTCAGCAGCATCCCCCGCGTGGCGCTGGCCCCTCACCCAGCGGGATGACGAGGAAGCGCATGTAGCCCAGCCAGTCGGGGGTCTTGTGGGACAGCTGCTCCACGAAGAGCCGCAGGATGGCGCTGAGGTAATGCTGTGCTCCCGCCACCGCGATCTTCACGGGGGTCGGGGGCTGGGAATTGCAGTTGCAGCTGCGGTCGGTGGCGGCAGGACGAGAGGGGACAGACACCTCAGGGAGCCGTCCTCGCAGTGAGGACCAGCCTCACTGAGCCCGAGGGGGCCCCAGGGCTCCCCTGCTCCCCCTGAACTCAGGGCCTGTCCCACAGCTCACCACTATGATGGGGCCACTGAAACCCAGGCCTCCCAGACAGCGGGCGCCCCACGCAGGGTGGGCAGTTCTGCCAGCCTTGCTCAGGCGCCCCCAGCACTGCTCCAGCCACCCACCCAGTTCTGAGAGAAGACGGGGCTGCAGGAAGCCTGTGGGGCTACAAGCAGAGCCCCATGCAGGGTGGAGTGCAGAGGCCCCGACGGACACCTGGGCAGCAATGCCACTGGGCAGTCAGGGGCAGTGCAGGACTCACTATCTCTGTATCCGGGAGACGATGGTGCTGAAGGCCGCCTGGACGTCAGCCGCAGAGCACGTGCACACCACAGGGAGTGTGTGCCGCTGCAGGACGTCAGAGAGGAACTGGGAGGCAGGGAAGAGGGGGAGCCTCTGAGCCAGCCACCACCAGCCCGCCTGGGAGCAGGCCGGGTCAGCCATCCACAGCAGGCGAGGCTGGCCAGACACCCCCCACC